TCTAGGTCAAATCGACCTAGACGGATGCGGCAGAGAATGATAAAGGTAGTTATGAAATGGATGGTATTAAGAGGAAGTTGATGCAGAGGAAAGGAGAACCACTCGCAAATGCGAAGTATTTCGGGGCTTAAAGGAAAACGCAGGCCAAGCTTAAATTGGATTTCGAAGAAAGTGTAACAATCCTGCGGAGGATGGTCGAATTTATCAGAGGGAGAAGATCTAAGGAATGCCCAATCAAGAGGTTGGCCGATTCTTTCAGGATTGAACCAAGGGTGAGAAAGAGAGGTAGAAGAAGAGCGCTTGGAAAGTTTTTTGGTCGAGGATCGTTTGGGTGGAGATTCGAAGAGAGAGGAGCAGTGGGCTGCGGAGAAATAACCTCGTCCTTTTTTGGCTCGTCTAACACGCCAAGGGGAGGTCGACGACGGTGGAGAGGAACGTTATCCATGGTATCCCAGGAGTTTGAAGAAGCAATGCAAGCTGTGAAAACACTGGTAGGAACTGTGTCACTGGGGCGAAGGATAGAGAGAGGGACAGCTTCGAGCACAGAGGGTAGTATTTCAACCGAATCAGAGGAGGTCTCAGAGTCTGAAAAGAAAATCAAAACAAAGACAAAGAGAGCAATATCAAAAAGAAGCCACCACAAGGAAGAAAGAGGGGAGAAGAAAGATTAGGGTTTTCGAAGAGAGCAATCCAAAAACCAGAAGAAGAATTTGAGAGGTATGGGGACGGAAATTTAAAAAATTTTCAGAGGAGAAATAAAACCCACAACATCCACTAGCCAGACAAGAGTATTCAAAGCACAAATTCAACACAAGACACGCCAATTCGAAATAATTCAACAGACAGATCAAGGGTACCCAATATTGAAAATTCAATAATACACAAAATAGAACTACAAAGAATACAAATTCAAGCGTGGAGAGACTTACTCATAACCGTGGATCAACGATGGATGGAAGTTCGAAAGAGCGCAAGAAAAATCGCCGAAAAAGTGAGGGTTTTTGCAGAGAGAATTATGGGTACAGGGAAATGCGAAAATTGCGAAGGTGGAAAAAGTCGAAAAATACGCTAAGTATGGAATTTATACCTTGGAAGATTAGAAGGTTGAAAGATAAAGACCGTTGGATTAAAGCTAGATCCTACGGTGGGGGGTATTAATTCCCACGGAGTTCAAAACGGACACGTTAGACGAGGAGGCACAATAATTAAAGCGCCTGACACATATGGCAGGCGTGACGCGTGGCAGAAAAGTGGGCGCGACATAAAGGACTTGAAGCAGATGACTTTATTTCTAGCAATTAATGGGAAATTATTTGAAAACATGAGCGGGAAACTTATCGGCTGGTCGATATCGGATGACAAGCCATCCAAGAGGTCGATAAATACTAATTCACTCTTAGATCGAGTCATTCAGACTCGACCAGAGTGGGGGGACTAGATGATACGGGATATTATATACACAAGGCTAAACCGGTCTGCTCAGCCGGTCGAGAGGGTCAAACTAGGAGGAAACCAAGACAAGAAGCGGGAGGATCGATCATTCAGACAGTCGACCAAGCAGGTGGTCGACCAGTCCATCGCACGACCCGAAAGACGATCGAGCAACCCGTCGCTCGACCAGATACATGATCGGGCAACCTATTCGACCTCAACAGGTCGATCACTTCAAGGAACCAATAATCGAACTAGTCATGGGCGCGTGTACAGCGGGCGCGCGTAAGAGCCTCTAACTGAACCTCAGGAGAATATTTACCCCATGTGCAGGAGGACACGTGTCCAGAATGTAGTGGGTGATAGCGATAACCACCTCTGACAGCTCCCAACGCCTTGCACCACCTCTGACATGCGCGCGGCGTGTCAGAGTACGGACGGGCAGCTTGGGCAGCCATCTCACCTTATCCGGGCAACTATTAGGGCAGGTATCTCACCCCTATATAAAGGGGGTGAGCCTTTCTTCCTTAAGACATTCTATTCATTTTTCACTTCAGTATACTCATACACATACTGACGTAAGCATCGGAGGCTCTTCACCGGACACAACCCCCGTTGTGAGAGTTATTTGCAGGTTTTCGGCGTTCTACCGGCGAGGACAAAGATCGATCCATTCCAAACCGGACCAGGACGCTTATACTTGCATTAGACGGGATGAGCATATGTATATATTCAATGAGATCCGAATTAATAATTTTCGAATCTTCTATTGTATGACTTACACGATCTCCAACAAATCTAGCGATTTATTGGATTTCCCAAAGCCTCTCGATCTTTTTTTTTTCTAAGACCTCTCGATTTTATCCGAATTTTCTCTCAAAGAAGGAACTCACTTTTTCTCACATATTTTGGATCGATAATATCAGCCCTCTAGATGAAGAAAAACGTGTCTCTCAGAATCTCATGAGACAGGGGACTTGCTGTATTTATAGGCTACAATATGGACCCCAAGGAGGTGCTAAATATGAGCTTATTTCATTAGGTTTAGGAATCCTAATTATTTTCCATCTCATTTCCCATATAAATAATATTCCTTTTAATATTTAATTATCTTCTAGAAGACTCCATAGTCCCCTAACCCTAGATAATATTCTAGAAGGAATGTTCATATCCCTAGAGAATCTAAATTATGGAATATAATTAATTCCTAATTAGAATTTATAATAAAACATTGCACTAGAGTAATATTATTGTTTTCCCCATTTAGTTTTGAATTATAATTAATTCGTTTCCAATTAATAAATTAATATTAATTTAATTGATCGATTTATCTCCATATGTTTAAGATATAACGCCCGTTGATAAATTAAGTTACTGACAATATAATTACTCAACTTCTTATCCATTTCAGAAACTAGTACCACTCAAATCATTGATCATTATCTCCGATACACATCCGCCTACAGGGCTTGACATAATATTACTTTCTGAGCTCATTTCGGGGATTTCATCAACCCAGCACATTGGGACATAGTGATCGTAAATAATCTATAACAACAAATCAGATAAACACCCCTATTTACCAAAATATCGGGTATATCATCCTAACAAATTAGAGTTAATATAACTTTTGTGTATTCTAGGCTATTGAATTAAAAAAAATATATGTATGTATGTATGTATGTATATATATATATATATATATATATATATATATATATATATATCCTCCCTATATATTATTCACGAATGCGTTGAGCCTACGTGGCTGCTTCTGGTGCTTCGGAATCCTACTTGACAAATAATCATGTTTCGTAATTAGGTTTGGACAAATAATATTGATATATTAATAATTAATAATTTAGGTTTGGACATGCCATAAATATTATTTAGCTAACTTAAGTATTTTAATATCACTTGTACTAATATAGCTCTTTATTTCTTTGTAATTACATACTGAGGCACTAAGTGACTAATATATCCCTGAATTTTGATTTGTTTCCTTCAATTAGCTATTGAATTATAAATGTATTTTAAAGGTCGATAACTTCTGTATTTCTTATCGGTTATACATATATAATATATCAAATTAATCATCTTTTGATGATCTTCGATTTGACATCCATATTGTATATATGAAATAAATAAATTATATTTATATTTATAATAATAAAAAATAATAATATTTATTAAAATTCATTAGAAAAATAAAATTATTTCTCAATTGATATATTTATGCTTAATGTAGTTATATGTTGTAAGTTAAAAAAATTATTATAATATAACACATGTAAGTTACACAAATAAAAAGTGTCATACTAAATATATAATAATATATATATTTTTATAAAAGGTGTTTAAATTTTCAACTACTTTTTCTCATTAATTTTAGATTTTAAGAAAAAATTAGCAAGCACCCGTGTAATACATGGGCGTTGTACTAGTTTACATTAATTACAAAAATAAATATAAATGAATTATGTTTCAAAATTTTGAATGTTTCTTTAAATACTATACTATCATTTTATTTGGAATGACACCCATATATTATACACGAGTTACGAATGATAATTTCATAATCATATTATTTACAAGTGTTTTACAAGAGTTAAATAAAAGCATAATTACTTTTTTTTTTAACTCGTATCATATAACATCATTATCAATACAATTCAGTACCACTGGAGCTTACTATGAAAAAAAATACTAGTATATATACACCCGTTTAAGTTGCAATATTAATATATGCATTAAATAAATTATTATCCTTTGTTAGAGCTTGTGCAACACACTGAGTGTAAAAATAATATAATTAAAAAATATTAGCGCTCTCAGATGTCATTTTAAATAAAATTAGTAATACACTATTGAAATAATTAAAAAAAATGCTAAGTTCATATATTAATTTTGTTCATAGTCTATAACTCATTTTTCTATTTCAATGTTTCATTATCAATATTCTATGTTATACAATGATATACATTGATTAAATGAATTCCAATATCAATCCATATATAATACAATCATTTGAAGTAGGGTTGTAAACGAGTTGAGACGAACCGAACTCAAGATCATGGTACTCGAGTTCAACTTAACTAATCGTTGAGCTCGACTCGTTAAGTAAACAAGTCAACAATCAAGGTCGATCAAGCTCAATTTGTTTATAAATATTAACGAGCCGAACTATCATATATATAAAATAATCTCTTTTTAAGGTGTCTCACCGAACTGAGCCGAGTTCGACTCGTTAACTAAACAAGCTCTAAGATCTAGCCTTAACGAGCCGAGCTCACAAACGACTTGTTTTGTTAATTTATACCAACTCTATACCAAAGATGAAACTGTAAAAAGAAATTCCAAAGAAATTGCATGTAGCAAATTCTATGGAAGTAATGTACATATATATGGCACACAAATCATATGATATCATACCGTACGTTGTGGCTCAAACATGAATGTACACCACAAATTTTATTACAACATGAGAAAAGATAACAGTTTTTATTTAAAATGTCCATTACATATATTCTTCAAATTTGGATTAACCAACTGTACGAGTACGAACCACGATGCCCGAGTAATTGACCGGAACACGTACACGATCACACCTGATATCCGTGGTATCCGGACTTCCATCTAAAACCACAATTGCGTCCACGTTTGGGTTCTCCCGCTCGATCACTGCCTCGGCAAACCTACCGTTTTGCCCAACTAACTCCGGCCATGAGGTCTTGCCTTTAGTATCTATTAACAAAACACAAAAAACAAATAGAAGACTTAACAACAATATCAAACAAACCGACAGCGATAAAGAGATCAAATGAAACGGCCTATAATTAAGCTGATAAAGCAATTAATTGAGGAGAGTGTTCTTGCCTGGACAATCTGCCATATCTAGCTAATATGGTAATTACAAGTAATGAGCAATGTAATTAAAGTGCTATTGATGTTGGTACATTGATAATCGTTGCATGGGCACATATATATAGATATTCGGTGAAAAAGAGATGGCCTGATTTTCTTGAATATATAAGCTTGCGTGTATGAAGCAGCAGCACCCCATCTAATTGGGATTGCGGGTCAATAGAAACTTTGAAATCATATAATGTACATCTTTCGTTATCTTCCCCGACATTAATGTAGAATGTTCAAAACATAATTATGCATCATATATTCAAAAATCCGTGCCAGCGATTTATAGCCTTTTTTTAAAGCAAAAGATGAAATATAGTCATCTTTTTAAGAAAGATGAATTCTAACCATTTTGGTAGGCAAAAGTACAATTGTACCCTTATTAATGTTTTACCTACAAAACATATTAAAAAAAAGAAAAAAAAAAGAAAAAATAGTCCATCTGCGCACGCCGACACATTAATCTCTTTCTCTCCTCCATTGTTCTTTGTTCTGTGCGCTGCGCTTCTGTAAAAAAAAAAACAAAAAACAAAAAAAATAAAAAAATTATTATCTTCCCAAAATTTACTCAAAAGTGATCTCTTTTCAAATATCATTCCAACATCACCAAGGGAATCTCCTTTTTGAGAAGAAAAAAGGTATATTAACATAAACTGAATTTTGTTTTTTTTAATTATGTTAAATAAATTTTTTTTTAACTCATTTATTATTTTTGTTCCCAAAATTATTGATTTGCCTTGTAACATTTTATTTTGTTGAACTCATATTTTTTTGGAGTTAAAAAAATATAATTTTTGTGCTTAAAAAAATGATTGTGTTTTGGAGTTCATGACTTTAGTTGTATTATTACTTGAGCCTTTTCTTTTAGAGTCTAGGAGATGAATTAATGGTTTGTTGAAAAATAAACAACAATTTGTTGAACAAAAAAAAAAATTTGAACAAAACCACAGTTTGTTGTTCAAAAAACAGGTTTGTTGAGAGAAAAACGAGTTTCTTGTTCAAGAAACCAATTTTTGTTCAAGAAATCCGTTTCTTGCTCAAGAAACCTATTTCTTGACTAAAAAATTGTGGGTTTGTTCAAAAAACTGTTTGTTAATAAGAAATCAGTTTCTTGCGCGAAAAAACTGTTTCTTGAAGAAAAAATTGTTTCTTGAACAAGAAAATGGGTCGGCGATTAGCTATAAATGGGTTTCTTGTTCAAGAAACCAGTTTCTTGCTCAAGAAACCAGTTTCGAGCAGCCGTGTGAAGAGAAGTTTGTTCGCCGCTGACAGATGGCGTGCGAGGAGAACATGGCCCACGTGGTGGTGAAGTCGAGCGTGACAGTCGACAAATTGGATTATTTTTTGAAGGAGTTGATTGAGGGGCGTTCGGGTTGGTATAAGGATGGAAATTTTGATCCGCCATGCATGCCGACAGATATCAGGAGTGAGAACTATTGTTGTGTTGTTTTTAAGTGGTTTTTTTGTAACAATATTTTGTTCGCCATGCGTGTTTTTTTTTTTCTCTATTTAATAGTAGTAGTTGTTGGTAATTTAGCTATTTTATGTGGATGGTGATCATAGTAGGTTATTAGACTTTGTGTTGTGCAATGTATAGATTTGAATGGTTTCTGATGGCAATTTATGTGCTTAAATTACAAGTAAGTGGTTTAAAAACGATACATATTAGAATGTCATGAAGATTTTCATTAGCATATGTTAAACTGTGCAATAATTTAAAGTGGCATTTGTTAGATTGTGCCATGAAAACTCTTTCCGTATATACAATATGTCTATACATATTTTTTCCCTATAGACAACAGCCTACTGGGGTATAACTTGTTTCTACAAAGATGGTCACATAAATTATGTTAAGACCTTCGATTAAAATCCTGAAAACTATTCCGAGCCTGCCCACCAGGCCTAGGGATATTCGGGCTGGAAGTTGGCATTTGAAACTGATGTTGTTGATGTTGGTTCGAAAAGAAATTAGCTGATGGAGAAAATTGAGAAGTTGAGCCCAAGTTTCCATTAGGACCATCGGGAGCTTGGCCAGCCGCAAGCCGCAATCTTGAGCCACTGTACTTCGTTCTTCAATGCCTCGTTTAGGGGTAGAAAAAAACATTCATATTGATTATTGTATCATGAATCGTTTTAAGATTATTTGTCGACCATTAAGTTTTTGAAAACCAAAAACACACTGTTAAGGTTTTTGTTTCTTTCATAACCGTGTCCCTTCTCATATTAGTTGCAGTTTGTAGGAACAAAAACATATGTGGATGAGGTACTTCTAGTTTTGGAATATGATTGGGACTTCTTTTTTTTTT